CGCCCCCGCCGCCAGCTCGCCTCACTTATGGGTCGGAAGCGCTGCGTGGGGGAGACTGTTACAAGATGGCGGCGGGTTGCTGCGGGGTGAAGAAGCAGAAACTGTCCAGTTCGCCCCCCTCTGGCTCGGGTGGCGGTGGTGGCGCCTCCTCCTCCTCCCACTGCAGCGGAGAGAGCCAGTGCCGAGCTGGGGAGCTGGGACTAGGAGGCGCCGGTACGCGGCTCAACGGGCTGGGAGGTCTAGCCGGAGGAGGTAGCGGCAGCGGCTGTACCCTCTCTCCCCCCCAGGGCTGCGGTGGCGGCGGCGGGGGGATTTCCCTGTCGCCACCTCCGAGCTGCGGAGTGGGGACCCTACTTTCTACCCCGGCCGCCGCCACCTCTTCCTCGCCCTCCTCTTCGTCCGCCGCCTCGTCCTCATCGCCCGGCTCCCGGAAGATGGTGGTGTCAGCGGAGATGTGCTGCTTTTGCTTCGATGTGCTCTACTGTCACCTGTACGGATACCAGCAGCCCCGGACCCCCCGGTTCACCAACGAGCCCTAGTGAGTACCGTGCCCTCCGCCGCCCTCTCCCTTGCGCTCGGGATGGGGCTCAGAGTTGAGGCAAAGTACGAGTCCGCCTCCCCGCCGGCGGCTGCCCGGTCCCCGGTGCCGCTCGACCTAAGTCAGGGCACCCCGCGCTTTCTGCCCTCCCAGGCGAGCACCCTACACTTGGAGCAGGGTGCTGCTGGAAGAGATGGCTCACTGGCTCCCAGAGGTGTTCACTTTCTCTTTGCGATAACTTCCAGGAGTTTTGACACTTTCCTTCTCTCCTTCGCCACCCTGCGTCCCCACCTCTCCGGTTCTGGAGATCTGGATTACTCAAGGTGTTGACCTCTCCTCACTTTGGTTTCCATTAGCCCATGTGAAAGCCCCGCCACTATTCCCGCCCCAGGTACCTTGCACGTGGAGAGTTACTATCCCATTGCAGGGTGAAAAGTAGCAACTATCCAACTTCTGTTCTGCTAGTGATACAGCTTAGCTCCGGAGCTTATGAGGTTACCCATCTTTTCTTTTGGGTTGCCTTGTGTCCTGGGGAGGGAGGTTTTTTAAAAACAAGTTTTTCCTTACTACCTATTTTTATCCGAACATACCCATTAAAATGTGTTTCTAGTGAAGCGCACCACCGGCTCTCTCACGTTTGAAGAGTGAGACCTTTTTTTTTTTTTTCATTCCACCGTCTGGGTAATAGCTCATTCAAAAGAGAGCTGTCCCCATAGAGCCACTGTCAGTTTGTACATTAAGCGTGCATTCGCTTTTGTGTCAATTTCATTTTTAAGAAATCTATGCTAGGCTTGATGATTTCAGAAATAGTTAAACAATTCCAACAGTAAGTGTGTAGGAATTTTTATGGTTTCCTTTGGTTTTGTACTTTTAATTATTTTACCCTTCAAGTGTGTGGTTGAAATTGTTTAAAATACCACTGTTACAGCTAAAAGCCAGGTTAATTCTAATCCCTGTCCATTTGGATGTGTGGGAGATGGGGCATGTGTTTTTTTTTTTGATGTGTACACTGAGTGTAAACTGACTTTTTGAGTTAAACGCTAGACAGAATGTAAAGCCCAAGGAAGGGCAGAATGACAAAGAGGGCGATTGTTTTTACTATTAGTACTTAGCATCAATAAGAAAAATAATAGAGAAAAATTTCAGTGAAACTTACACTGAAAAGCATCAACTCTTTTTCTAGCTAAGACAAGAGCCCCTTGTCCCCATATCATAAATACCTGAATTGATGTTCTTTTTAAACTGCTTCTTTTCATTTTGTGAGATTAGGGGATTAGACTACTACTGGATAAATATAAACACTTCTGCCTAGACTAAAAATATTAAATTAATATGTAAAGTGGAAATTGCAATAAAGAGTCGTGGAAATTGTAAATTTGCATTGTTTGTTTTCTTTGGCTTTGATACTTTAAATGTATCTAATTTTGTATTTTTGCCACTCTTCTGTGGTCTGTGCATTTTCTTTCAGACTTGGTTCATCTTTGGGCATTGGTTCATAAGAAATGCATGAAAGAGCATCTAGACGGACACTTTGTCAAATAAATATCTTTTTAAGTTTCATGGTTTTAATGCTAGGAGCTTAAATCCTAAACCCACACCTTTACTTAGCCAATTGGTTTTTTGGTTAAGAAGTAAAATTCATTTTGAAAAGACTGCCATGTAAAAAAATCTATGAAATATTTATTAGCCTGAGTCACTTATTTGTGACTTTTCTGGCTTCTCTTGGGTGTCTATGATGTATTAAAGCCAGTCCTGGGATGATACATAGCTTGGCTCTGCAGAGTCGTGGGACTGCAAAAATTTACTCCTGTTTAGTTACATGAGTTTGGCAAAGGCTGTTTTACTATTCACGCTTCATTGCTCCAAAGCATATGAGAACACACTTTCAGGAGGTGCTATTTTCACACATTTTAAAGTGAGTTTGGGCTAACTGAATGACTATAACAAGAATTTTAAAAGGAAGGTGAGCTTGACCAGTTCATACAGAAAATGCTTTTGAAAATGTCGTTTAATGGTGGCTACTTTGCACACATATTTAGGTATTATTTCTCTTCTAATACCCCATCCACTGGATTTTTTTTCAATGGAACTAAACAGACAAAATAAGACACAATTTTGACCACTGTGGATATGTTAAAGCGATGGTGGAAGAATAATTACTATTATCATTTAGCAGGCCTTGAATGTGTCATGTGTTCTACAAAGCAACTAATTTACGAGAGACACTGAACATGACCAAGGGGAGAATGAAAGTTCATTTAAGTGGCAAGAGGACTGCATCTTATCTTCATTTATCTTAAAGTCATTTTTTCAGATGTACTGTGGAAAATTCAGGAAATTTTCTTAAAAGGAGTGTTTGATTCGGGGAGTAAAATAACTGTGATCATTTGACAGTGCCTTAGTAACTACCACACATTTTCTTTCTGATTTACATATTTAATAGCATTGTGTACTTATTAGTGTGGCTTTGTGCTGAGGGCCATGAGACATAAATAGACATATTGGTTTTTTTCCCCTCAGAGTTATTACTATGGTGTCATGAGCAGTGATGTTTCACGTCCTGTCTCTGTCCACCAGAAGATGTGCTTTTGACAATTTCAGATTCTCATGTGTAAAAGCACACTGTTTTCATTCCTTCCCAGGACATTTCTGTCAAAACGCCTGTAACTGGTACAGTCTGCCTTTTATAGGTTTAGAAGTTCTAGCTTCATCAGTTACCCTTCCACTCTGAAAGGTTATTAGAAATTTCCAGTGATCTGTCTGTTTCAGATTTTGGGGGAGGTGTCAAAATATGAACAGGCTGTATGGGTACAAATTCTTTACTGTTGCTGCTGTTTATTGGAGTGCCTACCTCATCACAGAGAGGTAGTCGTAGCTAGAGCTTGGGAGGAAGGTGGGAACTTGTTTAGTGGAAGGCAGGTAACATTTGTGTTAAAAGTTAGGAACGCATTACTAAATCCTTGGTCTTGGTTGTACAGGCACATTTGCCCACAGAAATAAGGTTCAAGACATGATAAAAACATGACTTGCAGGTGCATTTTACTATTCAAAGTCAGAGCTCTTGGATTTATATGTGGGAACCCGGATTGCCATGTTATAGGAACCCATTTGCTACTATAAACGGATCCATTGTGCCAAGTGTTGAGCCGGTTAGACTCCAGAGCAGTCATTCTCGACCTTGGCTGCACATTCGAATCACTGGGGAATTATTAACAATATGGATGCCTGGGTCCCAACCCTAGAGATTCTGATTTAATTACTCTTGGATGGGGCCTGGGCATCATGATTATTAAAAGCTCCCCAGATGATTTTAATGTGCAGCTGAGGTGGCGAACCATTGGTTGTATTTGACTAGGCCTTTCTCCTGACATTCGGATTAATTTGGTCTGGGGTGGTGCCTGGGAACCCGTATTTTGGGTCCTTTTGGTAAACAGCTGATTTGGGAAACACCTGCAGTGTGGTCTGCAGAAGACATCACCTGGGAACTTTTTCGAAATGTCGGCTCTCAGGCCCCACCTCAGACCTGCTGAATTAGAATCTACAGTTTAACAAGCTCCCCAGGTGATCCTTCTACACATTAAAGTTAGAGGAGGAGTGGTTCTCGAACTTTAGAGTACGCCATAATCTCCTGTAGTGCTTGTTAAAACACAAATTGCTGGGCCCCATTCCCAGAGTTACTGATTCAGTCGGTCTGGGGTGGGGCCGTGAATTTGCATTTCTAACAAGTTCCCTGGTGATGCTAATGCTGCTGCAGTTCCCAGGACCATGCGTTGAGACCCACTGAGTTAGAGAGTAGTGAGGACCTAAATAAAGTACTTGAGTGACTGGAAGGGAATGGCAGTTTTCACTGCCAGTTTCCAGTATAACACTTCCTGCTTCCATGTCACTATCCTTTACACGTTCTTTCTAACTTAGCACCAGGGAGATTGAATGCTGCCAAGATCATAATAAGAGTCCGAGGTTCTTGGGATGGTTTCAGTCTGAGGTGGGGCGGAAGACGACTCTTGGAAACCTGTGATATGATTTTAGATCTTTTTTTCAGGAATTGTTAAATGTGAGGGGCACATTTGAGGAGTTAAAAACAGCACAAATATGATACCTTAAAGTGAATTGTATTGATTTTAATAAGCAAAGCCCCCTTCTGTTCCCACAAAAAATGCTTTGATGATTAGCTCACTAAATAACATGTGATAAGATTTTAAAAGCTTTTACTTACACTTATGCTTGCTGGATTGCATTTTAAGAATTTCCCTCATTAACAAAGAAATATAAAAGGATCCTGCTAAGGCACTGGGATTGTTCAGTCTTATATCTTGAATGCTATGTTGCATGTCATGTCCAATGAACTTTTTGTTTTAATCTTCTTACCACCTTTGAAGTTAATACAGTACTACATTTTGTATAGACCACAGCACATGAGATACTTTACTATGAAACATCAATACGTGTGGTTTTCCATTGCAATGAATAAAATATATTTAAAAAAAATCTACCCCTGCACATGCAGATTTTGAGAGACTCCGATCAGATGTTTTAACAGTTAACTCTTTCTTGTCTTGTCACAGCAGTCAAATTACTGTTTTTCAGTGTACTTGGGAGGAATTGGGTTGTTTTAGGGAGGTGAAGTAGGCACTTGGTTTCGCCAGAACAGTAACAATCCTATCATGCGTTAGTAAAAAAGATGATTTGATAATGCAGCTCAGATCAAAGGGATATTAAATCAGCAAGGATTTTAAATGCAAGCTATTATATTTCTATTATGTCTTTTTTGATGAAGGTTGACCAGAATAGCCGGAAGGTGTATCTGTCTATTGCAGATGATCCTACTAGGCCTTTAAAGATTTCCTTATCCATGCTAGCGTAATGGTCATAATGTATAGTTTTTCTTTAAAAAAATTGTCTGAAAAATTGTTGAGCATTTTTCAAGGTATTGTGGGTTGTTTTTCAACAATGTTGATTTCCATTGGAAGGCAATTTGGTGTCCTATCTTACTGATAGAA